CTCTCTCTCTCTCTCTCTCTCCCCCCAGACTTTCCTTCAGCACTAGCGCCGCAGCCACACTCCAGCTTTCAGCAAGGGCAAGGCAGAATTATTGGCTGTGCAGGGGCAGGCCAACTTTTGGGCGTTGACTCAGCTTGGCAGGCCTCTGGTTGCCCCGTCAAATGGCTGAGATTTCTTGTTCTGGCTACTCGCGTTCGCACACTGTCTCTCTAGACTTTTCTTCAGCATACCAGCCTCCAGCAATCTCAGGTCAGAATGAATGATCATTCTGGGACAGGCCAACTTTGTGCAGTGTTGACTAGGCTTGGCTGCCTCAGGCTTCCTCTTTGAACAGCTGAGATTTCTCAACGTGGACAGGCTCAGATGTTGAGTGTGTGTTGACCCAACAGGCCCTGGATGCTTTCAGAAACAGATTGTGAGCCTTTCGATTTTACTGTGGCCGTTGTATACTTCTGGAGACATCTTCTACTCTTGGCGTGCTGTGCCTGGTACTAATGTCTTTCCCAGGGCCTGATTTTGACGTGTCTAGGCTCTGGGTACCTTGATTTGACCATGCACCCAAAGGCCTTGCAAAGCAAGACCTTCCTAGGGCCTGTTGAGAGGACTCTCTGGGACCTCTAGGACCGACTTTTGCTGTGCTGTTTTTGACACTGGTTCTTTGTAGAACTGTTGAAGCTGTAGACGGAATTCCTTGTCCTTGCTGGACGCTGGTGGATTTTGGTCAGGGGTTGCAGGAAATTGCCAACCCAATGTCTGTTTGCATATGGAATCAATACGGAATCAATGAGGACGGTGAGCACCAGCTCAGGTTCTAGGTCATCATTGTTGGCCACAAGGGGAAATCTCGTTTCAATTTGTCACTGGTTTGATAAGTCCATCAATAGTCTAGGTGGTAAGTCACGATGTCTTTTCCCAGCCTGTTGGGAGGATGCTGAAAACTCAGAATACAATGAAATTTGCGGTGATTGTTGGGATTGTTCTCATGATGGTGCCTTTGAAACTAACCATAATGTGTGCCCCAATTATGGGTATACCTTGAATTGTGCACAGGGTATACAATGTGCTGGCTGCGTTGGAGTTCAACAGCACTCGCAAGCGGATGTCTGTCATTGTCAGAGATCCGGAAAATCAAATCATCTTGATGTGCAAAGGTGCAGATAGGTGAGAAGGTGGTGGGGACTCTACCAGCCTGCCCCAATTGCTGTATTGTGGTCGAGTCTTTTCGGTCCCTGTTGCTGTACGTGCTTGTTTATTTGGATGGGGAGGGGAGGGGAAGGTTGGGGAAGGGTGGGAAGGGATGCGGAGGGAGCTGGATGGGAGGGAACTGATAGGAAGGATGCACTGGACTGATTGGATGGATGGAATGACCTTATTTATTTGATGGATGGACTGATTGATGTGATTGGATGGACTGAACGATGTGACTGGATGGATTGATGGATGTGATGGGATGGATCGAGGGATGTGCTTGGATGGATTGAGTGATATGATTGGATGAATTGAGTGATATGATTGGATGGATGGATTGATTGAGGTGATGGGAAGCATGGATTGAGGCGATGTGATGAATGTGCGAGGCACAGGGCCTCGATATGCCCTACAGGGCCTATTTTCCACACAGTCGGCCGCCTTAAGTGAAGTCAGGCTCGACCGAGGCCTACAGGCCATTTTGGGGTCACCACGCAACTGGGGAAATTCAGGCAGTTGCGCAGCGCCAGTTGGTTGGAAGCGCCCAGGCCCAGGCTGCCTTTCATTGCATGTAACTAAGGCAGGCCCTGGGCCGGATACACAAAGTGGACCGAACAAAGGCTGAGGGCAGTTGGGTGCTGGTAACCACCACAGGCCCTGGGCCTGTTTACTTTGGACTGAGGCTCAGCCTCGTGGGGCCTACCGGAAGCTTCTGGGCCAGGGCCTAGTACCGCATTACCGCACGCAGCAGCAGGCCACTTCGATATAGAGAAGGGCCTGGCTACGCATTGGACATTCGGGCACTGGCTGCATGCTGCGTAAGCGCTGCTGCGCTAACGCTGGCCAGGCTCACTCGCTCACGGGCGAGCTGGAAGGAGAAGGCAGCCATAGCCGGGCTGCGCTGCTGTATGCTGGATGGGGCGCATGGTGGTCCTTGGGTGCATGTGGCATCTGTGAGTTGGGGAACGAGGTTGTGAGTGATACGAGGGACATACCTGGTGCTTGAAGCGTACGGCATTGTCCGAGATCTACTCGTACTTCGGGGAGCTGTTGACGTCGTCAGTTGCATTGTAGAGTAGGCTAGATAGGATCTGCCATCTGTAGTCTGGGCGCCGAGCGGCAGATAGGATATCAACATTGGTTCTTCGTTGATGATGATGAGACTATTCCAGCATTGTCAATTATGAGCTTTTGGTGTGCCCTTATTTGGTGAAACTCGTGATGCAATTCTGCTATTGGTTCAAGGTCACGACTATCTGGTCTCATGTGTATGATGCTGTTTGATTTCTGAAGTTCACTATTGCTCATCTTCCTTGCAGATGGATGGATTGAGGTGATGGGATGTATGGATGTATTGAGGTGATGGGATGGATGTATTGAGAGGTGATGGGATGGATGGATTGAGGTGATGGGATGACTCGATTGAGGTGATTGGATGGATGGATCGAGGTGATGGGATGGATGGATTGAGGTGATGGGATCAATGGATGGATTGAGGTGATCGGATAGATGGATAGATGGATGGATGGATGGATGGACGGATGTTGATTGATTGATTGATTGATTGATTGTGGATGTTGATTGATTGATTGATTGATTGACTGGATGTTGATTGATTGATTGATTGATTGACTGACTGACTGACTGACGGATAGATGGACGAATGGACCAACCGACCTACTACCGACCGATGGACGGTCAGATGGATGGACTAACCGACTGATTGATTGATTGATTGATTGAAAAAAGGAGGAAAGAAAAAGGGAAAAATAGACGAGAAAATGGGGAAGGGGATTTGATTATTTGACCATAGACGGACGGACGGACGGGTGGGTGGATTGACCGACCGATCAACAGTGGGACTGATCGACCGACGTACTGACCGATTGACTGATTGATTTATTGAGTGAAAAAAACGAGGAAAGAAAAAACGAAAAAAAAGGTGAAATGGAAGGCCGGGTGCATTACCCAAATTATTTGCTCCCCCCTTCTTTGTTGAAAACCACAATTTGTAGGCATATAGCCTATGAGCACAGCAATCTACCCAAAAAAATAGAAAAACAGGGCTCTAAATCTGATTTGGCGGACCCCGGACCCCCAGAACTTCGGGACCCGATTCCCTTGAATGCTTCAAACGTTTTTGGGGGGAGAGAGGCGGGGGGGGAGAGGGGTAGGACCTCAGTTGGCTTCTGATCAGTTTCATGCTTTGCTGTTTAGGCCAAGGGTTGAGGAAGGTTTTGGAATTTTTGTTTCAGTCCTCTGTTGGAAGTTGCGCGATGCAGGCTTCCCAAGTTGACAGTGGCACATAGTTAGCCTCCCATTCAAACAGCTTGACAAATTGGTTCAGAGCATCCATGAAAATCTTGTTGTTTGCCTCCTATGTGTCCATGGTTAGAGGTGATGGAGGTTGTGCGAAAAGCAGCTGCCATCTCTCTTTTCTGAGTGTATTATGCATACCAGTGTGGTGGGATGATGTATCTTGGTTGTGTGGCATTGACATATGGATTGATTACAGTCTTGGACTGACTTGAGCTTTTCAGCCAGGACTTGTCGCTGGAAAAATTGGGACGTTTCAAGAATGTGTCATTGATATGATTTAGAGCAAGCAAGCATGTCTCGTGTGCAAATGTGGCACATAAAGTCGAGAATTATTTCCTTGCCGAAAACATTATTTCACGAGTCCTGGAAGGGACCTCTTGACGTGGTGATTGTGTGGCTGAACCACATTTCAGAACCTGTCTTTATCTTTACACACAATTTGGAATAAATTTGAAGATGGGATACAGTCGTTATTAAATTCTCAAAGTACAACCTTACAGAATTACTCTCAAGCGTCTCTCTGGAGAGATCTTGAATATATGCTTAGATTATATGTAACCTATATGATTTGGCGTATGGAAAAATTTGATTTTTTCTTCCCAGTTCATTTGTCAATGATGGTGCCTTTAAGATTTTATGGGGGATATAGTTATATAGATCCTAAGACAATATTGCATTGAGCCTCACTGCTCGGCACCTTGAGAGCACACACGCATTGAGAGATTACACGACATCCACACCGGAGTCCAGAGATGCAAAGTCCAGATATACACAGCAACAAGTTATCACATTAAACAGTTTCGGAGATCCAGTCACCAAGCGCCCAACAGCGCAGAATTCAGCAACCCAATACCAGCATCCTCCCCTAAGGTAGGTGACTCTCTTCTCTCCCTTGCTCACTCTCTCTTTCTTTCTCTCTGTCTTCTCTCTACTTGAGAATCTTGACTCTGAATACATCCGCTGCTATTCAGCTCTATCCCTACTACTAACTTATGCGGCTATGGCCGCCTTCCCTCTCAGTGCAGCGCTGCCCAGCAGGGCTTTCACGCGCATGCTACTCGCAGATAGTGCACAAGCGCTTCAGCAGCACTTCCACACTTCTCACGAATGAGCAATCTCCCTGAAATGTGGCTGGCCAGTCCTTATATTGACTTGGACTGAGCCTCAACTCGTCCCAGCCTCTGTTTCCTTTGGCTTGACTTGGAACCGGTACCATATGCCCATGGCCTGCTTGCTTCAGAATGTCAAGGCCTGCTACTTTTCCCGAATTTTCATTGGTGTGCTGCTGCTCGAGTCTGTGAGTCACGACTTTTCATCTGTGGAACAGGGCTTTTGACTGTGGAACCTGACTCTTGCCTCTGGGACACAAATTTTGCCTGGAGAAGTGTCCTTTGCCTGTGGGACATGACTTTTCAATATGACTTTTCAATATGAGACGTGACTTTTGCTTACAGAATGCAATTCTTGCCTTTGGGATGTGACTGTTTACCGGGTGCCTGTTGGACTTGACTCCTAAGGTACCCGACTGTGACCCTCTGAACTGGCCGACTTGGCGTCCCTTGGCTTGAGATGTTGACCCTGAAATTTGATTTTGGGGTCTGCATCATGGAATGCCTCTCACTCTCCCCGCAATAATTTCGAGGTCCTCTATGTTGATTCCTCACCTAGCTCTCTCATAGCAAGACACTATGTGCGGTGCTGTTTCAATTAGCTCATTCCTAGTAAACCAGCGATCTTAAGAAGGCTCTTGATAAGCAAATCTGACTTTATAATGCCGTTTGGGCCTACCCCTGCGTCCTCAGCAACAATCCGGTCGACGTCCTACTTGCCATCCATATCGGGAGGAATCATAGATCTGCGAGATGGAAGTAGCTCATTGCTGACACAAGGGAGTAACTTGGAAACACGAAACACCGGGTAAGTGTGCAAATGCGGAGGAATCTCGACAATGTAGGAAGGACCATCCACATCACCAATCATGTCGAGAATCTGCCACGGTCCCCTATACGCAGGCAATAACTTCTGCGCGATGTTCTCATCTGGAAGAAACTCTTTAGACTTAACCCAGACCAAATCCCCTACAGCAAACTGCGACGGTTTGCGTGCTTATTGGCCTGCTCTATCATCTGATGTTGTGCTTTCACTATATTTTCTCTTACTTTTTCTATCTCCTTTTGATACTGCACAGCAAACTCTCTAGTCCCTGGTGGAAGTCTTTGCACTTGATGATGGTTAAGACATCGATGGGCCTAGCGCCAACCTAAATGTAGTTCCATGGGCGTTCGTGCTGTAGCCAAATGCACATAATTGTTATAGGCGCTAGCGACCTTAGCTAGATGTTCATCCCAGTCTATCTGTCTGGTTGGATGTACATGCAGAACACTTGTTGCAGCACTTTGTACATCTGCTCGGTCTGTCTATTTGTTTCAGGGTGTCTACCTGAAGACATAGTCAGTTTGGACCCATACACACTCATAAGCTGTTGCCGGTGCTCGTCTGTGAACCTTGTATCCTATCACTCAGGATAGTCAAGGGATGCCCGTAGTCCTTTACCCAATGATTGAAAAAATCCCAATCATTAAGTCTGTCCTGGCTTCAGCAGGAGTGGCACAAAACAGAAAACTCGCTAAATCTGTCCGCTATCACCAGAACTT